TCAAGTGGGTTGCTTCCCTTGTCCTTGAGGGGTGGGGTGCATAGACGTGCTCTTGGTGCTGGCTGGTCGTGAAAACACGCTTAACTTTGCATGTCACAGTTCATGTGACGCAGCCTGAATGTTTGTGTGTGCTTGTGTGTCTCTTTTGGTCGGAGATGATGTAAACCACCAAGCAAATCTGGGTATTTCTGGTATCCTCGTTGTTGCCTCCAGGTTTTGCCAGCATTTATTGTGCTTGCTGGTGCTCAGTAGGGAATGATGGAATGAACCTGGGGGTGCCCGAACAAAAAGAAACCAGTTGGATTCCATTTCTCATTCCCTGCAATTTCGCACCAAGTCATTTTGATTTCCATAGGGGGACCAGGAGTTGGTTCCACATTTGCAACTACTCAGCCAAGACAATAGTACCCCGGTATATACCAGAAGTCCTTTGGCGATTTGTTCAAGGGAAACCAAAAGGGAAACTCACCATTTATGTTTACTTGCTTGGCGCTTGGGGAGTTTGCCTTGGCTCCCTTGACTGAGTGGCTAGGTGAGCGCCTACGGTGCCAACACCTGTGGCCAGGTGGGGAGCCCATCCGGAACCTCCCGGTCGGCGCGTTATTTCCCGGGTGTTGAAGGGAAGTGGTGAGAATATTTTCCCTGATGTTGAAGAGACAAGATGTGATGTCTCTGTGTACGGGAGGTCTCGTTATTGTGAGTAAACTTCGGGAATCCCGTATACATACATGCTGAAGGCAGCCAAAACGACGCCGCCCGTAATCAAGTAGTTTTGGGTGGTCCACTTTTTCATTGTGGTTCATGTGTTCTACTGCAGTTAAACGTGCTTTACATGGCCCTGGGGTTCCAACCACCATTAAAGCAAATGGGGGTTCATATATAACCACCATGATTTACCTAAGGATTGTCATCTTCCAAATTGGGGCAACCATTCTTTTAATGGGGGTTGAACCCTAGGGATAGTGTTGGCTGCTTGCTTCCTTGTGTTAGCTTGCTTCTTTGGAGGACTGGCGGGAGGCGATTGTAGGTCACCAATTGACACACCAACTTCTGATATTGTTACGTGCACCATGTCCCTTGGCCCCTTAGCGAGCACCAAGTGGGAAAAACATGTCCACAAATCTGTTGAACCGAACAATGCTTGTTTGTGTATGGCATTTTGTCCTGCACCCTTTCCTTGGTCTTTCTTGGGCGAGGTGGACACCATGCTGTGTTTTTCCACTTCCTGAGTTCCTGGACTTAGTCACTTTCGGGTTTGCACCATTTCGGCTATCTACCAGGGAAAGCGAGGTTTCCTGGTTTTCTTGGGGGGGTGGAATGGGAGTGGCTAGCCGTGGAATCGGGGCTTCGAACTTCGGGCGGCTTCTAGGGTTTAGGGTTTCCAGGGTTTAGGGTTTCAATTGCTTTTTGTTTTTTGTTTTTTGTTTTTTTTTGTCTCGGGTTCATTAATTCACATCTTCTTTCATTTGGGTGCGTGGCCGGGGCGTGGCTAGGCCGGGGCGGCTTGGGGCTTGGGGCTTGGGGCGGCCGGGGCGGCCGGGGCGGCCGGGGCTTGGGGCGGCCGGGGCTTGGCAGCATGGCATCGGGAGGTGGGCAACAACTCCACCAGAGACGTGGGGCGCTACCTGGAGATCTTGTCCCCCGGCACCGTGGAGGTCCTGAGCCGTGAGGCGCTGCTGCAGGCGGCCATGAAGGGACCCGCCGCAGCTCGGAGTTGGAAAAATCGGGGGGGTCGTGTCGCGGGGGTGGCTGGGGGGGGGGGGGGGGAAAGGACGGGGATGTTTTTTGGAGGGTCGGGGGTCGTTTCGCGGGAGTTGGGTGCGGGGGGAGGGTTCTCTTGAGCTTTGCTTTTTGTCTATGCGTTTGATTCGTTGGGTGTTCCTCAAGGCAGTTTGTTGTTTTAAGTCTTGCTCTTTGGGTTTGCCTTCAGTGTGGCGTGCGCCTTTGTTTTGTTTTGACTGGCTTCTGATGCATTGCGAGGTTTTTTTTGGTGCTCATGCATTTGGTTGTGTTCCTGTTCCTTAAACGGTTTTCCGTTTGGTGCTTCGCATTGAGATTTGACGAATTGAAGACAGGGGTCGACTGAGGGTTTGCCACTTAGCCAGCACCTGGACCATTGTGGGAGGTTCCTGTATGGTTGGCAGGTGCTTTGTGTGTTTGCATGATTGAGTTTTGGTGGGATGGGTTTGGCTGAATCTAACCACCTCACTTGAGGTCCCTTTTTATAACACCCCCCGAATGTCATACGCTTTTTTGCGACGTGGTCCCAAGCGAGCGGTAGATAAAACTGATAAAAGTCCATCCTTCGTGTTTGAGTATCTTCCCTTGTGAGGACTTTGAATGGACTCAAATGAAGTGTTCTTTGTTTGCGATGTGTCTATCACATTTGTTGCGTTGCTTGGCTTTGTTTATTCATAGTTCGGCGGTTGTTGTTGCCTTGACTTTCCTTCGGTTTGCTGGAGCCCCTTGTGTGTTTTCTTTGACGTGCTTGGTTCTCGCAGGGTTGCTTTGTTGTTGGTGGTGCATGGCTCTTTCTTCTTTTCGTTTGGTTTTCTGGATCCCTTCCGTTTGTTTGCCTTTGCTTAAATTGATGTTTGGGCTTCAATTGTGCTTGCCTGTTTTTCTTTTGGGGTCCTTTCTTGTTCGTTCGCCCCGACTTTGGTTCAGCGCCGGAAATGAGAGTGCCACGTATCTATCACAGGATACCCCCCACGGGTACCTGGTTTCCCCATGAGACCCGAACTTACGGCCTGGCCGATGGGAAGGGGTCAGGCGATTGGAATCCTAAGGAGTACCTCATGGACAAGGAGGACGAATGCCTGGGGCCTCAGCCGCAAAGGGGCTCAACTCGGACTCAATAGAACCAAAAACAACAAAGCCAGCGCTCTGGTCGTTTCCTTTTTTTGGGGGAGGCCTTCGAAAAAACGACGATCTAAAGAGGAGGCCCTTTCTATCCCACAGGTCAAAGCTCGCTCAGGCCAAGTGAGCGAGGCGTTGGTCCAGTTGGCCTTCGGCCAGCGGACGCTTGCTGCGTCGGGGAACAGCTGCGGCGTGCCGGACACGCTGCGGCAGGCGGCGGGCGTGTCGTTGGCGAGACTTGGCGCAAGTGGAGGCATGAAACGCGACATGCGACCCCAAGGGTCCAAGCACCTAAGGATCTAAGGAGGTACTTTACCCCCTTTTAACCTCTATCGTCAAAGGACCCTTGCGAGTTTGGCAGCGATGGGAAATACATCTATGGTCCCTCCTTACGGAAACTAGAGGAGTGTCTTTTCGAAATTGCGGCATGCTTCTGCGGGTTTCTGCTATTTTACTTACTGTTTGGAGAGGGCTGACCCAAGTGTCCAGAGAAAGCAGGACAATCTAATTGCCAATGTCCTTTGGGGGTAAATAAAACTGTCCCAGGTATCTCTGACATGGCCGCTAAATCGGAGTCTATCCTGTAGGGAGTTGGGTGTGGCGCAAGAATGAAGAGCTAGGGAGACGCAGGTCGTAATCTTTGTTTCCATTTTCCAAGGTGCTATTTTGGGCACCTTTGTTTGAGCCACAGCCATTTGCTCATTGGGCTGCACCCTGGGGTTACATTGGATGGCAACCAGTGGATAAGTGCAACCCCTACTTAGCTTTCAAGTCAACATGCTTCACATGTTTTTCGGTGGACAGTTTTAGGAACATCTCTGATACCAAGTTGATCTGCTTGAAAGTGGTTTAGAGTTATCATGAGGGCAAGGAATCCCACTTTTGTATCGCAGAACTGGTTACATTTCACTCATATGACGGATAGTGAACCTTGCCCTGGATGTGTGGCTGGTTTCTGACTTGTTGAGTGTCAGGTGTCGTTGCGGTTTAAGCGGAATAAGCTTCCCTGCTAGTGAACGGTCCAGCGGCAATGCCCAGTTCATTAAAGTAGGGCATGCCCGAAAGAGCCCTGGCGTTGAAACTGAGTCTGTCTCGTGCTTTCGCAAAAAACAACGGCGCTGTTGGCCTTGGGTTTGCCCGTGCCCAGGAGGGACTTGTCTTCAGGCCGTTCGCGGGCGACTGGGTGATGCCTTGAGCCAAAGAGCCATGTCTCACTCCAGAGTCCTCCGAGGTTCGCCCCACGCGTTGAACAAATTGAGATCATGCGGAAGGGTGTGGGCGCCCCAACGTTTTGTGGCATGGGGTTGGTTTTGCTCCCACCTCGCCAAGGCAATTAGTTTCTGCCCCGCGGGGTGGACTTCCCTTGGCCTCCCGTCGTCTCATTTGCGCCCATTGCGCTGTCCTTCGGTTTGGGCCACGATCCGAACCCCGAACCCGAGGCCTAGGTTCGATCAGCTTTGTCTAATTTCTGGGGGGGGGGGGAGGGGGGTTGGGGCATGAACAACTCACAAGTCTGCCCGCAGCAACGAAGGCATAGGGGGCTACAACTAACTTATCATGTCCTCACTTGGCTGGGAATCCTTTTGGTCATGTTTAACCATCAAAAGGTTTCACATTTTGGAAGCAGGCCCACTTCTTGCCGCGGCTAACGGTTTGCAGTTCTCGCTGAGGCTCCATTTCTTGCCTTCGTGCCTTTGCGCGAATACCTTTGCTGTTGCTGGTAAGGCATGTTGTATTGTTTGTAGTGGGTTACATCCAAGATGTTTCTCCTGACCGAATGTCTCGTGGTGATTCTGGAGCAACAGCCTATAGTATTCACAATCATCTGCAGGCAAGGGGATGGCGAAAGATCTAGGGGAGGGGGTTGCTCGCCAAAATTCAAGGTCACGCAGGGGACCCAATCAATAGTGATCGTGGCTCAATATTACGAACTGGAAGAATGCTGATAAGCTGTTGGCTTGGGGAGGGTTTGGAGTTGCTTGCTCCAAATGTCCCCGATGTCCCGCACAAACCACTGGGGCCCACCCAATTTTCCCATGTCCTTTTGGGGTAAGAAGCTTTCATGTGTTTTTGCGCCGGTGTGTCTAATATGAACTCGGCTTATTCCTCACTCGGGTTCCGAAGCATGGCTCTCCCGCCAGACCTTGGTATGGCGGCCTGGCAAACGACCGCTGGCCGAGCCGGGCTTGCCCGGAGCCGAGTGAACCGAAAGCCCTTCCAGGCGGTGGGCATATTCCAAGAAGCTGCGTGGGCCTTTGCTTTCTTCCCGGACGGGAAAATGCTTCCAGGATTTTCTGGAGATATTTGAAGAGCTTTTCTTGAAGTAAACCCTAGATTTTCCAGGGGTAGAGGGGTCTGGCTGTGTTAGTGTTGTGGAGCCGGTTTTTGGGGATATGTAAGGCAGCCAAAGACCACCACACTGCTTTGGGATTCATATTCCCACTGCGGTAAGTTGCATTGTCGCGACTTCGCAGATGGGAAGTTTCTTGCCTGGTGGAACGAAACCTGGTTGAGCCTGCCAGTTCCGTTGTCAGCAAGGGCTTTGTCTTCCTCCAGAGGCTTCTCATTGAGGTATTCTTGCCTCACTGTAGCCAACAAGTCAAAACTTGAGCTCGCAGCCATCTCCGAATGCTACCGCATTGCCTTTGCTAGCTGACCCTGTGTGCAATATCGAAAACGATTCTGCGAGGCTCAATACCTGTGTTTTGCGCTTGCGGCTTTGATGTTCTCTCTTGCTGTGGACTTTCACTCATACATGTTCCCCCCCCACTCCCATTCAAAATTATGTCATGTTTTTCTGGCACTCTCGTTGACTCCAGCTTTGGTAGCACACTGCAGCCGAGTGTACTTGGAGTTGGATGCGCCGCGGCTCAAGCTTGAGGCACGCTTGATTGACTCAATCACCAGCACTCCTGGGTTGGACACTTGTGACATTGTTCAACCGTGAGAAGCCGAAGTTGAGCAGTCCCTCCCTAGTGATCCGTTTTGACATTGCAGCATGTTTGAAACGACTGGGCTGGACGAGGCTGTTTGCATTCTGGACCAGCCACACAGAGCCACAGGTAGAAGTTGCGGGCAGGCTGCCATGGCAAAGAAAAAGGTCGGGGCTGGTGACTTCGCAGACAGGGGATTGACTAGGGTGCTTGCAGATGCACTGAAAGGAGGCAGCGCAGAAGCAGTGTTCCAGAAGGTGGAGAACATGAGCCCATTGAAATTGTCCTCGGCTCCAACAAAGATCCTGAAGAGAGTGTCACAGATTTATGAAATGCGTGGGTTCTTTGCTTGCTCCAGTGAAGAACTGTCGCGGGTAGATCGAGATGGCTGGACACTCTCATGGATCGACCAGTGCGACGCTCACGACAGGTGGCACTCAGCCTCGTTCTGCGTCAACACGTCTGCAGGCGTCTGGAGGGTGACGGTGACAAGCGATGGCGCAATCAGCGCAGCGTTCCCCATCGTCGATTCCGGCCTGGACAGCAGGCATAGCAAAGCCCAAGCCGGGGAAGGTGAAGGGACAGTCAAGGAGTGCTTGGCCAAAGCTTGCAGGGCTTGCAGCAAGAGATGCAAGGATTCATAAAGTCAGGCTGCTCGCACTCGAAGCAGGCTTGGATGGTGGAGGCTTGCGCAGCCGTCCAGGAACAGTGCTGGCAGGACTTGCCCTTGTTGCACGCATCTTTGGAGTGGCACTGGGGGGAGAGCTGGAAAGATTGGGCGCAGCGTGGCTCCAAGCAGGTGCAGAGTGCCTGCGCCGTTGAGGAGTGCATCTTGCCGGTGCAGGGCATCAGTTTCACGCACAGCTCCATCTCCACGCGGTTCTTGCACGGCACGGCCGCTGGCAAGGATGTGGAAACGCTGGTGGAAGATCTTCGACGGGGCCGAGTCGATCCCATGAGCCACCCCGATCTCGTGATTGATGCAGTGAGGTATGGAGGCAGAGTGCACTCACTCAACAACCGCCGCCTTTGGGCGCTCCAGCAGCATGAGCTCTTGTTGCTGCACGAGCTGGAGGTGAAAGCTTGTGTTCGGATTCTGCCGTGGACGCAGGAATCAACAGTGAAGCGCTTCTTGAGGGCCTTCACGTCATTTTCCGATGGTGAGACAGTGGCTTGTCGCACGCAGCAGGCTGGAGCGCCTCCAGACTCAGTAGTAGCAACAACCCTGGGTCGTGCTGTGATGGCGACCCCTGCTTCTGTTGCTGCAGAGAGGCAGAAGCAGGGTGCTACTCAGAAAACGGCTGAGACTGAGGCCCATGAGGGTCAGGAGCAACCGGAAGTCGGCGCTCTTCGATTAGGCCAGGAAGTCTTCAAGCACTGGCGGGATGCAAAAGGGCACGTGCAAGACATCCTGAGACAGCACAGCAGTGGCAAACCGCTGCCAGAGAAGGAGTTCCGCCTCATGCTTGATGTGTTCGAGTATCACCCAGAGCCACGCCAGAAGCGCATCTCGGAAGTCACGCGTGTTACGGTCGGGTCCTCTGAAAAATTTGCAAACACCCCTTCCTTCTGGATTTGGCGTTCTGATGGGTCTGGTGAGGACATCTCTGTGAAGAAGTGTTGGGACAAGCTTGACTTCTTGGAGAAGGCTGCCAAGAAGAGGGACCTGCAGCGGGAAACTTTGGCTGGAGGGCGCCACTTTCGAGGACGCTTGCATTCTTGGGTCAAGGAACAGGGTAAGAACTATGGCTTCCTCAAGATTGACGAGGGCTACGTGGATGAGAAGGTAAAAATACGTTCCGGCCAACGCTTGTACTTGGAGTGGTCTGATGTTGCTCCAGCGACCCAGGCGAGGGTCAATGCTAATAGGAGCGACGCCATGCCCTTTGACATGGACCAAAGCTTCTCCTTCCTTGTGTACAGGTGGCTTGACAACCAGAAGCTTGGGTGCAAGGATGCTCGTCTTCTCCAGTGCCGCGAGTATCTACCCTGGTAGGACACCTTGTTTGAGTGCATCGTTTTGCAGGTCGATGAACTTGGCTTGCCCCACAGGCCATTTGCACCCCAAATGGTGGGCAGAGATAAGACCTGTAAGAGCTGAGCCTGAAACTTGCTGTGCGAGTCATGGTGGCGCTCGTTTGACCAGAGACTCAGTTGTTCAGTGGCCTTTTCCCCTTTTTTTGGTGGCTGCCCCACTAAGAATGGTCTTCCCAAAAATGGGTTCCCTTTTTTCCAAGGGTCATCGAACAACTGAGAACCATCCAGAAGGGGTGTCTGGTGTCCTCAAACAAAGAAACAACCACAATATGATCTGGTTAGGCGCCAGTCACATGGAATCTCCGGAGCCATTTTAGTTTGCACACGCTTCTGGTGATTGGCGCTTGCGAGGCGCAGGTGATGCCGATGTAGTCTACGTTTGGCAGAATTGAGTCTGCAATTCCATTTTCTTGCGTTGGGTTTATTGCTGGTGCTCAGTATGGAATCGTTTGAGGGGGCCTTGGGACTGAATTAAAGGAAAGCCCTAGGGATGATTCAGCTTGGCTCATTCCAACTCCTTCTCTGCCTGAGCAGCACCGTTCTCTTGAAGAAAGCAAATGGTCCACTCAGAATAGAATTATATTTACACTCCACGTCTTCCATGTTCCACAACAGATAGGACTGTAGCTAGCTTCGAATAGCTGAGCTGGAACTGTAAACGCTTTGCATTTTGGGAGGAGGCATTCCCCTCTCTCCTTAGATCCTGGAGGTGCGGATGAGAGCGCCCAACTTGTCTACATTTGACTCGGGTCGGGCTCCAAATGAGGGGTGGAACCTCTAAATGCCCGGTTTCCTTCAAAGCCAACCGTGAAAAGGATAAACAAAGGGCTGATCCTTGACATTCTCGGCAGGACTTTTGAGAATAGGACATGTTGGTATGTCCTTTTTGGAGGCATGGGAACACACTTCTTGGGTTGCTTTAACGGGAAATCAGAAGGACACGGCCCAGTTTTGGAGGAGAGTCTCTCGATTGCACGTAGAGGCTCAATCCTTTCAAGGTTGCCGATCCTTCCACTTACCCAAAGCGAATCTACCTTTTGACATGTTTTTCCCTTTTGGTTCCCCTCCTGATTCACAACCATTGCTTTTGTGGCCCCAAAAAGGCTTCAGCATCCACCAATTCAGGTTGAGCAGCATATCAACTTGGTGTTGCTGGCCTCAACAATTTGGCTTCGCTGGTTTTGCTTTGGTCGGAAGCTGACTTCCTTCGACTTTCTTAGGGCGGAGAATACATTGTGAATAGACATATGTGCATCTGTTATTTCTGGGTCTTTGGGCCAACTAAGTCCTAGACATAAGTATAATTTTATACGTGTGTATGTGTATGTATATATATATATATAACTGCAACTATAGTACATGCGTACATGTGTGTGTGTATGTATATATATATATGTGTATACATGAAGCTGGGCACACGGACCGCACTTGGTCACCTGCGAGGTCGAACATCGAGAAGCACGGCGCCCAGTTGGGTTCGGGCTGTGACATGTCAAAAGACCGGTCTCTTGGGGACAGCAGGGGTCATCCGCAAAATGATTCCCTCCTAGAACCATGACCATAGGCCAAAAGCAAATCAGTTTTCACCATTGCACATGTTGTTCCCAAGAGCTGAAGGCTTTGGCTCCGGAGTGGGGTTGCTGTTGGGAAGTCACCTGGTTGGTGTCGCTCAGTTTCAGACAAGTTTGTATGTGTTCTGAATCCGATATTCGCTACTGAAAGATGGTATGACTGGGAGGGGTTGCCCTTAAGGATTCCTTTTGTTGACTTGTGTTTGTTCCCTTCATTTTTTGCTCTTTTATATGACCTTGGACCTTCGTTTGGAATGTTGTAATGTCACGCCAAACGGACAAACAGGTGACTGCTTTGAGTGCTTGCTTGTTGTTTTGCGTAAGGGCTGAGGCCCCCCTTCGCACAAGAAAGGTTCATGCGTGATTGGCACAGAGTTCCCTTGTGGCTGCCGGTACGAAATAACCTTTTTGCTCTGGGACCAAACAACTTCGGCTCGAACAAACCACTGGGTCTGCTGTGACTCTTAATTTTGCGTGCAGACTTCTCATGCATACTGTAGTATGTGTTTCTATGTTTTACTTTGTTTTACTATGCTTTAGTATGTTTTACTATTATTTACTATGTTTGAGCATTTGTTTATCGTATGTGTTCGTATGTCTTCGTGGGGTTTCCCGCTTGAAGCTTACATCTGTGCGCCGCCACGTCTTTGCATCTCGGAACCTCGTTGCCGCCCCTGAGGCCCGAAGGCCTGGCGCGGGTGGAGTCCTTCTGCGCCAAGGCGTCGCATGAGTCGAGTCTCCAAAAGCAGGGCCCCGTTGGTGGACAACATGGGTATGGCTCAAAATGAAAGAGCGACGATTCGGTGAAAAGTCTGTCTTCCGATTTACTAAGGTGCCATTTTGGGTACTGAGTTTTGCGCCACAGCCATGTTAGGGGATACGGTGGGGATGTATGTCCTGTTTTTTTTTGGTGTGTGTGTGTGTGTGTTTTTTGAGAGGATCGGCCCTTGTGGGGATACGGTGGGGATGTATGTACACTAACCACCTTTCAGGTTTGCTCTAAGAGTAGAATTCATGGCGATTTGTTAAATCAAAGATCCAAGCCCTAGTTGATGTGTAGGCGTCTCTGACTGCGGAAGTCCTTGATTGCACCCAATGCAATCCTGGGATCAGAAAGGATGGTATTTTGTGTGACAAAAATATGAAGATGTCTAAACCGACAGTTTGCTCAACTCTGCGTCAGGGGCCCTGGGCCAGGGGTCTGAGAGTTGGTGATGCATCGCTCGCTGCCTTTGGTGGCTAGTTGCCCAAATTTACAAGCTTGAGCTGGGTATCACACAAGTCGGGAGAAACATAGAACGTTCCATTATCCTTTGCTTCCTTTTGAGTTTTTGGGGAAGCTAATCTTGGCAGTTAGCACCCGCCAAGCACACAGCAGCCCGCCTAGTCAAGGTCTACACCACTTCAGAGAAGCGCCACATTCGGCAGGCAGGCCGATTCCGACGTCAGATGAAATCGGTCGACGTGTGATGCATCATCAAAGGTGAAAATGGCTGTGTGTCTATCCGAATGGATGTGTGCGTACCTCAGTTGAGGCAAGTTGGGGTCTGCAAAAAAGAAGACATATACATGAAAGTTAGCCAAAGCACGCAATGGATGACCACCCAGGACTCACGGAATGCCCTTGCTCCGCAGGGAAATGAGCTGAACACCGCGAAGGGAGTGCCCAAGAGGTCTTGTACTCCATCTATGAATGTCGTTCGGTTCCGAAACGCTCAAGCTTTTGAGGTGGTGTTTGCTTCCTTTTGAGGTGGTCTCTTATTTTAGGTGAAGTCGCAACTCTGTCAAGACTCGGCTTGAGGATTAGTGCACCTGGACCCCAACTGGAGCGGTTAGCCTGCGAAAGGAACCTAATGTGGAATTCTTCCGGTGGCAAGCGAGGTCGCTGAGCACGTACCATGGCCCATCCGAATAACATCGAGTAACGCTCGGTTGGTCCTTTGCCTTTGAGCCTGTTCCAGAGATTTGTGTGTGTGTGGTGCTGTTTGTTAATGGTTGTTCGGGTAATGTTCAATTGATGGTTTGGATCGACGTGGTTTGGCGTGGGGTCTTTTCTCCTTTGCGGCCAAATGTCCTACATTTTTGACCAGGTCTTCGGAACCCTGGCAAGGTGACAACATGTGGTGCCCAATCGACGCGATGCGGCGGTGGTTGACTTGAACATTGCTGAGCACTGATTTGTGGTGCCAACTGGCCCCCTCCACATTGGATGGGCGTACAGCGACATATACAATTGGGACCTGCCTCTTCTTGCTTTGTGCAGATCTTGGCCACCGAGCCCATGCGGGTTGGACGTGTGTGGGCGTCGGCCGTTCGCCCGTTCGCCCGTTCGCCTCGCCGGGCATTCAGCTTCTGCGTTTCCGGGCGGCCTTTCTTTCATGGTCCGGGCCTGCGCGCGTTGCGGGAGAGGCGTTGCCGCGGCTGTGGGATGTCTTTCATGGGGACCCCCGGTGAGTTCCTTCCTTACGTCTTCGAACCACGAGCGGCTCTTGGTTCGCATCCTGTGTGGTGGCCGCCGCAAATGCGGGCTTGACTGGCCTCCGCCTGTCTCTGCAGCTGGGAGAGGGGCATCCCTGGGAACTGTTGAGATGTGTATTTGTTGTGCTGTCAGTGGCTGGTCTGCGAACTTGAATGTTGTGATACCATCCCCCCTGCTTTGGGCCTGGAATTTGGGGGGGAACCTGCATACATGAATATTTTCAATTTCATGGGCTTGGTAGCTACGTACCTTTTCCCAACCCTTGGCCAAAGCTGAACTTTCAAGGGCTGTGAGTTTCTTTTTTCCGGATCCAACACCAAATTCGTTGTTTGTCGGGTACTCCCGATTTTTTTCCAGGCTGCATGCATGGTCAAGAGGCCAACCTTGACCCAACACTGCTATTTTGGTAGCGTACAAAGGGGCCCTAGGAAACCGAGGTTTTCCTTTCCCAGCTCAGTCTGCCCGAAAGCGGGGGTCGGTTGCCTACATTCACCTCCAATGTGTTTCACGGATTTCACGTCACCTTGCATGCAGGGTTGGGCTATGGTGCGGCTGAAGCTTTTTTGCCCTACCTGAACCCACGAGACCCTTTTTCCTTTTTGGAAACCAAAGCAGGTTGCTTGAACAGTCGTGGCTTTAACCATGTTTAAACAAGCAACCCTCGCACCAACACCCCTCAAACAAGAGGGTCTTTTGGTTGTAAATGAGAGCACTCATGTTTTGCTCTCGCGCGCGGCTGCCAGTTGGAGTCCAAGGAGGAGATTCAGGCCGGGCGCTCTTGGCCCCGAGAGGGTTCGGCAGGTGAGGGGCGGCCAGTGCTTTCAGCATAGGCATTCGGTTTCGGTTTGGAGCGAGCCTTTGATGCCCAAAATGCTTAGTTCGGAAACCTTCTGGGGCGCCTGCGCTGATGCCCAGGTTTTAGCCGGGAACCTTCCAGGATGCCTAAGTGTGAAACGGTTGTGACTTACCCTACTGAGTTGGTTGAGCATGCGTGGCGAGTTCGTTCACGGTGACCCAGGACCGGCCATGGGGGAAGAGGCGCGGCCCGGCGATTGTGGTGACCAAAGTGGTGACACTCACAAGGCGACGTGGAGAAGCACAAAAACCCACCATGTGTAGGGAAACATGCTTTGACAAGACCCCCCCTTTTTTCGATCTATTTGGACTTGCAGGGAGTAGTAAGACGAGGCTAAGTCTCCCTTGTGACGATTCAATTTGGTGTAGAGTCCCCGACCCCATTCAGGCCCTTGCACTACGTTTGGGGATACACCCCTGGAGTTGTACATTAGGAAAGCAGACCCTCATTTGCACAAAGTTTGGGGCTACGGATACACCAGCGGTTTATTTCCCTCCCCTAAGCTCCCCTTTGTTTCGCCCAGAATGGTGGCAGATTCCTATGATCAACGTGGGGAATTCAGAATTCATCAGGTCTCATTTCTACAAAAGCGCGTTTTGGGCACAGAAGCGTCTTCCCAAGACCATGTCTGGGATGTGCTCGACATGATCAACAAGCTTCACATTACAGTGTGTGTGTGTGTGTGCTGTTGTATGACTCCATGCCATGCCATGGGGATCCCGGAAATGGTCCTTAGGGATGCCGCAGCGAATCGATTCGGGTGAGTGGCTTCTGTCCAGTATCTTTTACCTTGCTTGCTCTTTAGTGTGGCCTTTTGCCTGTTTTAACCCCCAAAACTGACTGGGCTATGAAATAGTTGAACTTTTTGGCGGGGGTCAAAGACAAACTCGACTGTGACCCTGGTTTCCTGCTTTCCCGAAAACCCCCCTGCAGTCCTCCAGTTTGCTACCCCATGTGAACCGCTCCTGTGACTCCTTTCCCGTTGGCCAAGTCGTTTGTGCTGGCGAAGCTTCATGTGCATCAGTTTAGATTCGGCCCCTACATGGAGTTAGCGGAGGCGGAATTCCAGGCGCAACCCCATTAGCTCCGCGTTCTTTTTGTGGGGAAGGCTAGAACATGAACTTGGGCCCCTAAAGCTGAGGGATCAGTTTAGTTGACTAGCGGTCAATAGCAGGTGAGTCTTCTGGATTCACACCTCTAGAGGAACCCACTGAACACCCTGGAAAATTGAGCATGTGTTCGAGGGGTGTGGTGGAGGGTAGGAACAGTTCAATGATAGAGCTTAAGTGGTTAACAATAGGTTCTGAATGACTGTGCGCCCTAAGTGGTTGACAACACGTTTGGTAGGATCCTTACCACACATATAACCTGGCTTGGAATGTTTGTGCGTGTGTGTGTGTGTGTGTGTGTGTGTGTGTGTGTGTGTGTGTGTGTGTGTGTGTGTGTGTGTGTGTGTGTGTGTGTGTGTGTGTGTGTGTGTGTGTGTGTGTGTGTGTGTGTGTGTGTGTGTGTGTGTGTGTGTGTGTGTGTGTGTGTGTGTGTGTGTGTGTGTGTGTGTGTGTGTGTGTGTGTGTGTGTGTGTGTGTGTGTGTGTGTGTGTGTGTGTGTGTGTGTGTGTGTGTGTGTGTGTGTGTGTGTGTGTGTGTGTGTGTGTGTGTGTGTGTGTGTGTGTGTGTGTGTGTGTGTGTGTGTGTGTGTGTGTGTGTGTGTGTGTGTGTGTGTGTGTGTGTGTGTGTGTGTGTGTGTGTGTGTGTGTGTGTGTGTGTGTGTGTGTGTGTGTGTGTGTGTGTGTGTGTGTGTGTGTGTGTGTGTGTGTGTGTGTGTGTGTGTGTGTGTGTGTGTGTGTGTGTGTGTGTGTGTGTGTGTGTGTGTGTGTGTGTGTGTGTGTGTGTGTGTGTGTGTGTGTGTGTGTGTGTGTGTGTGTGTGTGTGTGTGTGTGTGTGTGTGTGTGTGTGTGTGTGTGTGTGTGTGTGTGTGTGTGTGTGTGTGTGTGTGTGTGTGTGTGTGTGTGTGTGTGTGTGTGTGTGTGTGATTGTGCGCGTGGTGGTGTTTGTTCGTTCGTTCGTTCGTCCGTTCGTTCGTTCGTTCGTTAGTTGTTTGCTTGTGTGTTTGTTTGTTTGATTGTTTGTTTGTTTCTTTGCTCGTTTGTTCGTCCGTTCGCTCGTTCGTTTGTTTTTTGTTTGATTGTTCGCATGTTTGCTTGCCTGTTTGTTTGTGTGTTTGTGTGTTTGTGTGTTTGTGTGTTTGTGTGTTTGTGTGTTTGTGTGGTTGTTTTGTTTGTTTGTTTGCTTGCTTGTTTGCTTGCTTGTTTGTTTGTTTGCTTGTTTGTTTGTTTGTTTGTTTGTTTGTTTGTTTGATTTTTTGTTTGTTTGTTTGTTTGTTTGTTTGTTTGTTTGTTTGTTTGTGTTCCACTTTAGAGTCGTCCTGAGCTGAACAGTCAAAGACTGCTGTACCTCTCACAGGAGGCGTACTCTATATTTCCCCCAAAATAATGTTAAACATCTTCTGGAAATGCGAATTGGAATTGAGATTTGTTTGGGTTGTTGACCTGGATCAGGAAGAATGGGCCAATAGCACCTCTGGTTAAATCGGGGAAGGAGTTGGAAGCCAAAGTGAACCATCCGACTGGGTGGTTTCCGAGTTGGATCCTTTGTCGATCATTTGGCTGTGCCTCAAAAAGCCGGTACCAAAATGGAACCCTTGTAAATGGAACCAAGCACCAAAACCTGCGGTTTCCTGGTTTAATTTTGACCCATACCCATTTGATTCAATCGTTCCTGGGGCTTCGAGACGTGAGCCAGAACGGTCTACCGGGAGAACCGCCTGCGCGCCAGCGACCAACCAGCCAGGGGTCCCAATTTCCTTCGAACCCATCCAAGAAGGCAGCATGGAAGTTGTCGTCTCGGGTTCTGGTTAATTTGCGCTGCTTGTTGCTATATATCCATAGTCCAATTTGGTGGCGGATGAATATCCTGTTGTTCAGGAGTACCAAACATGCAAATCCAAGATAGCCCAGAGCCAAGTCAGCAATGTATTGCAGTGGTAACTCAGTGGAGCTGGTACGTGGAAAGGTTCCACGCACACAGCACTAGGAAGGATTTGTTTGAAAGCTCAAACAAAAATGGGACGCCAATGAGAAATCGGGGCCCCTGCCAATGACCAGGGCTGGTTCGATGACGATACGGTTCGGTACCGCAAGCTCCGCGATACCACTCGATTTTATTGATATGTATTGCTTTGAATATCCGATAAACTTGCGATACAGCAGGGGAGTATTGAACAATATCTCGATAAAGGAATATACTCACCCGGCGCTGCGACTGCGCGCTGGTGTGCAAGCTGTGCTGCCAACAGGCCGGGAACCTCGAATTCGGCGTGTTGTGTCGCCAAAAGCCCGAAAGAAGCAAGAATCGAGCCTGCACATCTGTCCCGGATGAGCCCTGAGAAGTGGGAACCCTCAAAAACGATCAGGTTGATTTCTGGCCTCGGCTGGTTGCAGCTGTCCCGGATGAGCCCTGGGAAGTGGGAACCCTCAAAAACGATCTAACTCGCCGAGTTAGGTTGATTTCTGGCCTTGGCTGGTTGCAGCTGTCCCGGATGAGCCCTGAGAAGTGGGAACCCTCAAAAACGATCTAACTCGCCGAGTTAGGTTGATTTCTGGCCTTGGCTGGTTGCAGCTGTCCCGGATGAGCCCTGAGAAGTGGGAACCCTCAAAAACGATCTAACTCGCCGAGTTAGGTTGATTTCTGGCCTCGGCTGGTTGCAGCTGTCCCGGATGAGCCCTGAGAAGTGGGAACCCTCAAAAACGATCTAACTCGCCGAGTTAGGTTGATTTCTGGCCTCGGCTGGTTGCAGCTGTCCCGGATGAGCCCTGGGAAGTGGGAACCCTCAAAAACGATCTAACTCGCCGAGTTAGGTTGATTTCTGGCCTTGGCTGGTTGCAGCTGTCCCGGATGAGCCCTGGAAGTGGGAACCCTCAAAAACGTTAGGTTGATTTCTGGCCTTGGCTGGTTGCAGCTGTCCCGGATGAGCCCTGAGAAGTGGGAACCCTCAAAAACGATCTAACTCGCCGAGTTAGGTTGATTTCTGGCCTTGGCTGGTTGCAGCTGTCCCGGATGAGCCCTGAGAAGTGGGAACCCTCAAAAACGATCTAACTCGCCGAGTTAGGTTGATTTCTGGCCTCGGCTGGTTGCAGCTGTCCCGGATGAGCCCTGGGAAGTGGGAACCCTCAAAAACGATCTAACTCGCCGAGTTAGGTTGATTTCTGGCCTTGGCTGGTTGCAGCTGTCCCGGATGAGCCCTGAGAAGTGGGAACCCTCAAAAACGATCTAACTCGCCGAGTTAGGTTGATTTCTGGCCTTGGCTGGTTGCAGCTGTCCCGGATGAGCCCTGAGAAGTGGGAACCCTCAAAAACGATCTAACTCGCCGAGTTAGGTTGATTTCTGGCCTTGGCTGGTTGCAGCTGTCCCGGATGAGCCCTGAGAAGTGGGAACCCTCAAACACGATCTAACTCGCCGAGTTAGGTTGATTTCTGGCCTCGGCTGGTTGCAGCTGTTTGGATGAGCCCTGGGAAGTATTCAACATGGAATCGGCTTGAAGCAGTCTCAGTCTGTTTTCTTGGCTTTCCATTTCTCCAAAGAGGGTCTCTTCTAAGCAGCCTCTCAAAGACTTTGCCAGCGCCTCCCGTGCCAGGCAGCCACCAGCACAGCAGCAGCTGGCTGCCGCCCTTCTGGCCCCAAAGGGCCCCTCAAAGCAAACCCCAACCGATACCGATACAAATCGGTATGATTCAAAACGATTTGCAGCCATAGTCTTCGATACGATGTGAGGTTGCGATACTTGCTTTTCGATACCGATAGCTCGCAATACGCAACGATACGATTCGGTATGTTGTATTTGTATTCTTGAAACGACCCTGATGACAGGTGTCCTGTTTCCCCGCAAGAACAACCAAGATTTTCCCTCACCCCAAGGGATCCCCAGATTTGTAGACTTGTTCTGGCATTTTCTTGATTTGAAGGAGTGGCCCGGAACCATCCCCTTACTCACTCCCCAAGTTCATGGACTTTAAGCTTTTTGAGAAGACCATTTCAGTGGCACAAATAGGTTCGGATCTTTTTTGGCCCCTCCACTGGACGGAAAGTGAGCTTATGGTTTCGGAAATCCATGGGTCGCCCAAAACGGTGGCCTCCCAACGTCTATGGCACCGAACGGAGATCGATCTGCCCTAGGCGCGAGAGATCGATATCACCACGGAGATGAGGCGCAAGGCTGGGATCGATCTCGCGGGACCCACGAATCGGGTTGGGGTCGTGCTGAGGAACCGATGGGTTGGGTTCGTCCTTTTGGACAAAAGGGTGTCTCCAGAACAATGGAAGTCCAGAGTACTCTGGCAAAAGGAAGCTGTTCCTCTGGTGTCCACAGGGGAGCCTCAAAAAAACACTCAGGGTTTTACCGAAGGCGAGCCACGAAGCATGCGTTGACCAGCTGTTTTCTGACTGGTTCTCAGTGAATCGCTTGAGGGCTGTTGGGAATGAACCTGATTCCCCAAGAGAAATGGGGTCATGTGCGGATCCGCGAGGTTTCAGGTGGGCTTGGCATGGGTCTTGGGCGAATTGTTGGTCTGGGTGAAGTCTACACCTGGCAGAAGGCTCAGCTGAAGAGCAAACATCTTCACGAAGCATCTGGAGTATTCAGCCATGGCGCCCAATTGCGATGGGATCCTGCAACTTGATGTTGGAATGGATGGACACGCCCGCCCCCCCCCATTCACCAACGGCGGGAACCCCTTTTGATGTTGGGCCCAACACTATGTGAGCCCAGCAGAAGGATTTGGGGGATCGAAGAGACACGGTCACGGGTTTAGAAAGCCGGGGTGGACTCGTGCCCGAAAATCGATAGTTGTTCATTGGGGCTAAGTTGAAGAGCTCTTGGGTTACTTGCGCTGGTCGAGTGAGCAAAGTGGTTAGCGCTTGGTCTCAGTTTGCCCCTAGTGTACCCTGGTCGTTATACTGACAATTTAGCGATCACCCCTATCAGTAGTTTGATTTGCGGCTGTCCTGCTTGAACTAATTTACCTCGAGTTGGGATGTTTGCAACTCCCATGCAGAAGCATTGAAAGCAATTTCCGGGTTGAAGAGAACCAACCCCAAAGTATTTTTGAGAACGGGTCCTTCAATTGGAACCGCGTTAACAGGGTCCTCGACAGGATACATGGGCCAGATTTTGAGGACTTTGCTGTACAGCAGGTGGTTGCTGGATGTATCTTTAAGGAACCCTATGTACAACCAAAACTCGGGGTAGTTGAAGGTTAAGGGGCAGTCTTTTCTTCAAGGGGTCAGGGGTAAATCAGGCTGCTTGGGGGGGGTTCATTTGGCCTTACTTTCCCCCCCCAAAGAAAGAGAGGCCAGAGCCCGGTTTGAGTGTGGACCAAACGTTGCTTGTGTTGGACCTGCAACGCACCCAACTCTTCAGGCCAGAGTGGAAGACCTTCTCTTGCAGCGCAACTTGATCGAGTGCTACACCCTGGGCCGCGGGCAAAGCGGGCAGAGTGACAACGGGGTCCGTGTCAAAAAATGGGTTGCCCTGGTAAATGGAAAAGACCAAAACCTTGGATGGTGTCCGCATGATTTAATCTTGACCCATACCCAAATACGTAGAGAACCCCGCGGTGGCATCTTTAGAAGTAGCCCTTTCATACCAGCTTGCTCCAAGGGCTGTCCTTCGACGCGGAAATCTGTGCTGTGCTACGGAAATGGGGCCGGCAAGGGGCCGGGTGGCAAGTCGCCCCTAGGAGACAACCATAGAGCTCGACTTCGTATTCTTCCAGGCAGTTTATTGCAGGCGGCACTGCCAACATTGCAGCGTGGGGCCGAATATATGCCCACATTTGTCATGTGCCCAAAGGAAACGAACAGAGATGGGCGATGCATTTGTTCAGGCGTCCTAGAAACCCCCAATGGGTAAAGCAGCGTTTCAGCTGTGGGTTTCAGGGGTTTCGGGGGAGGGAGCCGAGCCTGAAAAAGAAGCACCCGAACTTGTGAGCCAGTGGCCATTCGCAGCATTGCCCAGAACGAGCTACAAACACGTTCACCACCAGCTAAGTCCCTTGCTTAGAAGATACCAGATGTGGAAAACCTTTCTTGTAGACAGTTGTCAAATTCACAGGGGTCCTTGCGTTTCCTCGCTCACTAGCGTTAAAGATTTACGCTAGGCGGGAAACTCCCCTCCAGGGGACTCGGCTCTGAAGGAACCTTACTCCCCTGCAGATTGACATGAAACCTTACAAAGCATCATTCATGGAGGAGAGTCCTTTTGAGGACCCGCTTTTGTGGTGCCCTGTTAACTTGCAGTGTTGTTGCGCCTCGTCGGGTGATGCACATATCACCTGGGGGTTGCCATGTTAAGAAGCGTCGTTCTTTGTTTGGTGGGTGGTGTTTGATAAGGATGTGGGTAGATTCCCAGTGTATGCCCGGTGACCATCAAAGTGACTTTCATTGGATTCCATTCCCGCAAACAAGCCTGATTGAATCTGCCTATGCAACGATAGTCGAACTGGCCAGTAGACATGCAGCACCGATCCAAATGGAGCTGCTTGGCTGATTCAAACGTGAAGAACCCCCGGATTTCCGCGAGCGCATGTTCTTGAAAGCGCAACTGCGCGAAGACGTGTGCAGCTCAGTGGTCACATGGTGCGGGTGTCCTTTGCTGAAGCCTTTTGGTCGAAGTGTGGCCTGACTGGCTCCTCCAGAAGCTTTTCTGGAGGGTCTTTGGTTTCCTCCCGTGGATGGACAAAATCCGTTCGCACCAGCGTTGGTTGATATTTGCAGGGGAATCATCGTTCCGGGGATTATTAGGTGGTGTTAAATGGTTTTCATCCATCCACCCTACTTTTACAATTCTAGCGTTGTGAGTTTTTGTTGCTCAGGTGACAAGCATTACCGGCAGCCAGAGTACGCGCCAGAGTTTTACAAGGCGACGTTTCAGAGGGCGGCAAGTCAAGGAGAACGGACTCCAATCCAGCGAAGCATTCGCTGTGCCAAGTCGTTTAGACCCCCCGAAGGCATGGCGAAAGCTCATGTTGGGGCGGCCTGCCCCACCCGCTGAACAGTCACTGGTGAGAAAGTTGGGAGATTGGGTTCAACTTCAACTTAGATAGTACGTACTTTAGCATTGCCAAGGCTTACTCTCAGATTCCCAGTACTTAATATAGTATCGCCAAGCCTTACTTTTCAGAGTCTCAGTATGGGGAAGGTGAAGGATGTTCTTCCCCCGGGTTGGGGATCTTCTTGGGTTTGCCTTTTTGAGCTTTTTATTGGTTTGGTTGAAAGCGTGGTCAGGAGCAGATCACGGAGCGTATAGAATGTTATTGGTTGGGAGGAAAAAAAGGTGTCCTTGAACAGAGCCGTTTTACACATTGGGGGAAACCAGGGTATGCCAAGGTGCCATTTGGGTACATGTTTGTTGAGCCACAGCCAGTTGCTTCTGAGTGTTGAGTTGTTGTTGTTTTCTGATTGGAGGCCGGTGGGCTTATCGCTGGTAGCACCTTCCATCGCGGCATGCACAAGAAGACCCAATCGCCACGTGCTCAGAAACCCCCTGCCCGCCCGTTCCTTGGCGTGGGGCACAGGGATTGAGGTAGACCCCATGAAGACCAAACTTTGGTTGTGACTCACTTCCCAAGTGTCCGATCTGTAGTTTTTTGGCAAAATTCCACAATAGTTGTAAACATCAAGTTTTAGCTTCATGCCAAGGTAACACGAGCTTCCTTTGGTTAGTTGGTGATGTTGCACATAGGTCCGTCATCTCATTCCGATATGTTCCCTTGGGTGTTTTTTGCTCCTTCAAGACGGTGGAGGGATTTCGTGGTTTGCTTGTCCTCTATTCCAGTACTTTGTTGCCCAGCGGTGCCCCATTTATCCTTTTTGGGGAAGGGTTCCCCTTCAAACCAACCAACCAAAAAAAGGGGGCCCTTTTTTTCCCCATGGCCACTGGGCATCTAAAAGTAAGTGAATCATTGCAATTTCTGGCAGATATGAATGCTTAGGCTGAGGACTGATGCAAGTGCCAACCTGACACGGGTTTCAGGCACTGGTGAGGCAACGGTAGGACACATGGATGCTTCCAAAACTTTTGGGGACCTCTCACAACGGAAGGGGGGAGAGAGCTTGTTGGTTTGATTTGAGGCCCTCACACAAGGGGTCCCTTTTTGGGGGAACACCTTTAAAACCATGGTTTTCTTGTTTTGGAGTGGGGGGTTCCTCCAAGATCAAGTGCCAAAAAGGTGTCTTTGTTTCCGGTTGGTGTTAACTTGAGGCGCAGACACGACTGTATCATTGTCTCATTGCTGGGCACCAGCAACGCAAATAGGATGTAAAGGCAATAGGGGTCCCAAAATTGGGAGCCTCCAAAAGATGACCGACAATTCAGGGGGGCCTTTTGTGGGCAAACCAAAAGGAAGACACGTCCGGTCTCAGGTGTGTCTTTCTCTTTTGGTTTGCCTCAAAGACCTGCACTTCCTATTAACATTAATTACCCTATTGATAAATATGTTTCCAGGCCTCTAATCCCCAGTACTCAATCATATAGAATCAGCCAGCACTACACCAATTCCAAAGTTGCAAAACTGTCCGCCCAACTTCACTCGTAGGGGACACTTTAGAACCAATACTCAGCCAATACTAAACCGCTACTGAGCCAAGATTAAACCTATTTGACACCCACACAAATCCGAGAATGACATTAATCTGTGCTCGTACCCTTTCCCCCCGGTATCGTACTACCAAGTATTGTTCATTAGGAGGCAGCGATTATATTGATAGTATTCATTCAATTCCCCTTAAAGGAAATCAACAAAGTATTTGTCACACATATCCAATAATTGGTCGTCCGTTTGTTTCCCCAGATGAAACGTGCGCCCTCTAACAGACACATCCCCCTTTCGTGTCATGTTTCTAGACCCATTCATTCGCGCCCAGACTGAGGCAACTTCTGATTATTGGGCCTAAATACTGGTTTGGATTTGTTTGAACCCCTGGTTCTTGTAAAATGGGAAGCCAAGCTCACCGTGCCACCGGGCCTTCAGCTGGGCCTTCGGATGGGTTTCCCAGATCAAAGTCGGCTTCGGACTGGGTCGGTCACACCGCCTTATGGGGTTGATCAATATTCCGTTTGGCCCACAAATAGCCATGGATCACCTGTCCCATGTGGGACATATCATCTTCTTAGGGGTTGCCCCGATCGTCATCCTATGTATCACGGACCTTTGGATCAAGCCACATGTGATTGCCAGACTTTCTTTTTTTGCAAACCACACTTGCCAACCACGACTCCGGTTGCTCAAAGGGACCACCTCGCCAGGTCCTTGTGACGAATTTCTTGTGAATGCAGAGACTTCGCCCCTTTTCCCAGCTGCCCAGTGGCGCCCTTTTTATCTTTTTCCATTTTTTTCGGCAAGGGCCCCCCTTGAAACTCCACCCACCAACAAGGGATACCCGTTTTTTTCTCCCTCCATGGAACCCCACGGGGCATCTGAGCGTCGGTCGCTTTCGATGCATTCGAAGAGCCCCAGGCGCAGCAGCGCCAGCATGCTGGTCACAGGGGAAGGCGCGGCGAAACCCCCAGGGGAAGTCGACGTCGCTGACTGGACCTGACTGACTGGACCCAGTGGGTCAAAACCGGTTTAGTGGGATCCCATGTCTGCCTCATTTCCCCCTCATGGAAAAATGGATCTATCACTACTGGATGCTTAGATGGCTGTGGTTGTCAAAACCAATGGTGCCATTTTGGGCTAGGTGAATACACCACCCAGTTTAGGTTGCCTATTTTGGTGGTTGGATTGAATCGGAGGTTCACTGCAAATACTGGAGTTTGACCCATGGACAGTTTTGGATAGCCCGGACCACAATCCGCTTGGATATTGTTAGGTATGGTTCTGGAGTGGGACGGGATATTTTTGGGTATTGTTCCAAAGTGGGCCATTGGTCTGTGAGTGTCATAGTGGTGCGCAATGTGAGCCTTCCATTTTTGAGGGTGCCCTTTTGCCCGTTGTGCCAAAGGGAAACTGGAGGGAAGCCACCTTGGGGGTCCTTAAAGACAAACCCATGTCAGCGTTTGACCTTTTATTAGCGGCGGTTTTGTTGCTTGACCTGTTGCTTCCTCTGTGACAACTCACCAAACAGGAAGCAAGCTTGTGGTTGGGCCACGTGTTTCTCGTGTAGCATTGTTTTTTTTGCCAGTGGTAAGACGATGGAGGAGTTTAAACTAATCATGTTTGGCACGTGTTCCAACCATTACAACTAGGTAGCACGATTCACCTTTTGCGCGATGCTTCTTGGCGTGCGTGCTTCGAATTCTTGGCTGGCGCCGAAATCAAAACCTGGCTAGAAGCTTAAGCGGGGATGGGTACTGCCGGCCCTTTGATTTACTAGATGGGTTGGTCTCAAATTAGAGGAACCCCAAAACGGATGCTTTGCCTTTTTGTCTTCCTTGTCAACCAAGGTGAATAGGGTACCCTCGAAAAAGCACCGTGCCCCCAAAAAAAATGTTGGGGGGGGGGGGGGCGCGGTGCTTTTTGACGCCTTAAAGTACCCCTTTTGCGTCGAAGCCTAAGTACCCTAAAGTGCAGCCCACTTTGGAGTAGATCCCTTCTGATTCACGGTTGCATTGTGACTCTTTGGATTTGTAGACGCTTCGCATCGGTCCTCGCTGTGAGCTGGCAAGCTGTTGGCGGCAAGTTACATCGACCGAGGCGTCCTGCATTAGTGCTGGGTGGAACTCAGAAAAGTGTGCTTCAATGAGCATCCTGACACCACCAGAACTTCCACGTGCTTTAAATGCTTCGTCCGTCATTGCTTTGAGTGGAAAGGGCAGCCGTAAGCTTTGCATTTTGTGTGGCAGCAAGGCCGCAACACAGAAGAAGTAAGCTCTGGAGAAGAGCAAATCAGTTGCAAAGCCTGGCATTTTTGCAGGTGCCAAAAGACACGCGAAGACGTATCTGGAAAAGCAGGCTGAGCAGGAGGCGGGCATCCGATCGTGCCGTTGCTTGTTTCAGGCCTTCTACCATTGGCAAAAGACAATGCGGTGTATCTGGACTCTAGTAGCAAGGGAACCCCCTAGTGATCAACTAGGCACAGGTGTTTCAAGCAAATACCACAGAAAGGGGGTTGCAACCATTTTCCAGCTGGCGAAGTGCTGGCCCGTGAGCCACAATCAAAATCTGGGTAGATGAAGGGACAGTCGCCAGAACAGCGGCCTTTGCGGCCTGCGTATTTTCTTGCATGGTGCTGGGTCAACCGTTTTAATACTACGGCTTAACTCGTGACATCTGAACAATTTGGGCAGAAGGGCAGGGTCCAACCACTACCAAGATGGTGGTCGCATTCGCATCGGTTTTCCTTGTGACTCACGTTCATTGCTTGAGGATCAGAGGTTGCGTTTGCGGGTGTCGCCGCCGCAGGTTGCGGAGGCGCAGGCGGAGGTGGAGGCCCTGACCGGGTTTTGGGAGCTCGACACCTTGAAGGACCCGGGACTTGAAGTGGCACTGGCAGCTGTTTCCCATGTACAGCTTTTGAAGGGAACCCTGGCCCTGAGTCATGTTACCATGTGGTCCACTTGCAACGGGGTTTTATTTGAATCCATCGAAAATGGGGGACCAACTCTAAACACAACAGTAGGGGCTGCACTTGGAACGCTCAGGTAATTAACGGAATCAAGAAAACAGATTTTGGAGTATCCCACATGTGGGCCAGGTACTATTCCCTTAAGGTTGAGCCACTCACTAAGCGGGTCAGAATTGGGGGACCCCCGTTAAAGCTGGCAGCTTTTGGGCTGGCTTGAAACCCCTTCCAGCCATCAGTTAGAGGATAATGCTGTGGATGTGCATGTAAAGGGCCCTGCCTGATTGGACTGCCTTTAGCATGGGAAACGCCAAGTCGGTGCAAAATAATTTTTGGTAGTCTACTTTTGGGAAACGGAGAATCCATAAGTGGAGGTCTTCAAAATCTATTTCGAGGCATAACACGCAGCACGAGTGGAGGGGGATTACCTGAAAATCCTTCTGAAGGTCCAGGGGACCTGGCGATGTTCTGAAGCAGAATGGGTGGTAAAAAAAATCAACAGCTGGGGTTACGCAGGTTTTTGTCTACCTTTCGAAATTTTACCAAGGTTTCGTTTGAGGTACCTATGTTTGAGGTACCTATTTTTGAGCCACACCTGGAGGTTCATGTCGACCATGTTGAACGTCACATTTGATTTGGACCGAGAACTGACAGTGCTGGTGTGTTCGATGCTGGGAAATCTGGCCTTCAAATGGAGGAGGCAATGCGATATTGGAAATGCCTTGCATCAGGGCAACTGGCCTTAGGGGGCCAAAGCTTGGTCACGTGAGCGAGGATCGAGGTGGAAGACCTGGGATACAAAACTCAACTCCTTTGACTTTCAGAGGTTTTCTTCGTGGATGTTCGACGAGCGCAACATGTTGAAACCTTTAGAACAACATCAACGAACCGGCCAAATAGTAGCAGCTTTGAGGGCTGAGGAATGAGCCAGGTTGAGACTACGTAGGATGTGTTGCGCCGCAAGCTGGCCTCAACATGGCATCTGGAACCTGTTTTTGGATGTCAAATCCGTCTGATCCTTGTAACTGGCGGGAATCCACGCGATTCGGCATGCCAGTTGTGAGGCAAGGGAAGGAAGCGATTGGGAAGCCAAACACCCTGAATCCTGACACATCTCACGAGAAGTTGGACCTCGCTCAATTCTATTGTCCCTCCTGGGTATCGGGGTGCTGATAACAGCCCGGATCAATGAGATGAACAACCACGAACGGCATTGGTTAATGCATACACAAGCAGACAGGCAGGGAGGCAAACAGACTAACAGAAAAACTGACAGACTCACAGACCGACAAGTACAGATAGACAGATAGGTAGGTAAATAGATGCTGTAGATAATTCAATGGATTAATCGATAGATAGATATTCCTCTCAAGGATAAATCGATTGATAGCTATTCCTCTCAAGGATTGAAGATGCAGTTCTGCATGTTCATGTTTAAGGGTTGTTCATTTACTGTAATGGTGTGGATGGCAATAACCCCTAAGTGGCCTGCAACAGAGCTTCTCTCGACCAACAGACACCCTTTTTTCTCACTTCCCCAGCTTCTGGTCTTCAAGCCTTGGGAAGAATATATGGATGTGTGTGTGTTTTTCGGGTGGTGGCTTTAAAGGGAAACCTAAAGAAAGACCTTGCTTCTGAGGGGTCCCGAACAGAAAATGGACACAGCCATATGTTGCTTCTAAACAATAAATCTAGACATGTTCTCAGTCCGCTGGAGTCGGTGATGCTTAGGAGTGTGACAAAACCTACTGCGAGCCACTGGATTCGGATGCCGGGGCCTCAAACTGCGGTGCCGTTCTTTCAATTCGCTTGGGAAACACCAGGGTGACAAATACTAAGATTCCCCAGGGCACGTTATGGGAACGGCAATGAACTGCATAATTCGACGTGGGCTTGAGCAACGATCAATGTTAATATGATGGTTGCGACACAAAGATCAATGTCACTGAGAGAGCTGAGTGTTGACATCTGGCTCCATGTTGGGAGGGGGTCCGGTTTTTTTCATTAAGCAGTCCAAGAAAGGGTAGCCCAACACAAAGAGGAACTCGACGGTGAAGCAAGTGGTTGCCACAAAGGCCATGTTGAAATGTAGAGCTCGTCGCCCATGTCCAGAACCACAAACCAGAAAGAAATCAGGATATTTTGACAACAAGCCTCATGTAAAGACCCCTATGAAAAGAGCAACGCTGCAAAATGTTGCGATTCCTTGATAGAGTCGCCCAACAGTGGTACCCTCAAAAACAACCACACACACCCTAGTAAACAGGCAGAGGAACTGTTGACCGAGCCTCGGCGTTGCCCACACAGACTCTTAATATTTAGCTTCTTCTTGGTTGCCTGGACGTTTTGAAGGGTTGGCTGACAATGAATCACGTGCAGCAATTTTGCAATCTTGTTCGGGAGCACACCCGTCCTTACTCAATAGCACATTTGGTGGTGGTCGTGGTGGTTGTGGTGAGGAGGATGGGGAGAGCCCCTCCAGGAAGACCTCCCGCAACGCCTCAGCAAGAATCATAGCAAAGCGCCACTTGCAGTTTGTGGCTGCCCGGACTGCCCAACCCGTGACAGCTGCCACCATACAGACTACCCGGCTCATTCGCACATCGTTTGGAAGGCGTGTGTGCGTCGTGTTCTTGACCAGGTGTGCTTATCAGTTGCCGACATGGCTGCAGTGCTGAGTGTGTGCTCTTGAGCCGGAGTGCTTGTGATTATGTGCTCTTGGCGAGCGCGCGAGCGCGGCTGAGTATTTGGCGCGGCGCTGGGCTGAGCCTGTGCTCTTGAGAGGGCGCGCGTGTCATTTCGCAGGCGTGTGTGTGTGTGTGCAGTGGCGCGTGCTCACAACCAACTTGCTTTTTACTTTGACAGGCGTGCACGCGCAGGGACGACCTTGTGCTCTTGAGCGCGCTCACTAATCATTAAGCTGGCGTGCACGGGCGCATAACTGAAAATGTGGCCTATCATGTGGCTGGCGTGCGCACAGTGCCGAACGCGTGCTCCTGAGCGCGCGCGGAGCGGGCTCAGAGCTAAAAATGCGGCTTATGTTTTGGCTGGCGTGCGCACAGCAGTGCCGAACGCGCGCTCTAGAGCATGCGCGCTATCATTAAGCTGGCACGCGCAGGCGCAGTGCTGAAAGTGTGGCTTATATTTTGGCTGGTGTGCGCACAGTGCCAAAAGCTCTTGAGAGGGCATTCTTATCATGTGCCGGCGTGCGTGCAGCGCTGAGCCTGTGCTTTGGCTCAGTTCATTCATTGCCTGTCGCAACTGCCTTTGGGTGGCTGGCTCTACTACCTGGCTTCATGGGAATTATAGTGAGGCCAAACAGCAAAAGACCATCTTAGGAGGGCCAAAAAAGGCTGAAAGTCAGCTCGGGCTTTCGAACCTACTTGACGACAAGCGCTCGGTGTGTCTGAAACTAGGGGACCCCAAAAGCGGTTGGTGTCCCTTTGCCCTTTGAAACAAGCATAAACAGGGCACCCTCGAAAAAAAAGAAAAGAACAAAAAAAGTCACTTATATCAGCCGCTTTCTTTACCCACCACTTGGAGGCCAAAAAACCGAGTTGTGGAGCCATTCCCAAATTTGGCCGGCCAGGAGGAAGACCTCAAGGCGAGGCATGGGGTAACTTGCCCACCGGGGATCCTTCTCGGCAAGAACAACATCTGCGGGAAGCTGGAGAAACTGTTTTTTTTGCAATGGGGAACCAACCTCCAGACGTGGGGCTTGAAAACCTCATGGGAACTCAGAACTCAGGATTAAGTAAAGCCTGGTAGATCTTGAAGGAAGAGCGAAGACATTTGAGGTGAAAATCCTCCTTACCCACAGTTGCTTGTCCATTTTGTGGAAACTCCTGAGGGCTTGACCTGCATGGCCCTTTTGTGTGGTTTCTTGTTTTGGCAGGGGGGCGAGTCAACTGATTGCTTTGACTTGTCCCAAACGGGCAACAAGGACAGGGCGGTTTCTGTAACGTTCAGAGCCAAAGTTCCAAGCGTTTGTTATCTTTGTTTCTTTCTGGGTTTTCAAAACACTGGGTCTTGAACCAGTTGCCTTTACACTCGAGCAGTTCCCCCAAGAGGTTCGGTCAAATCCAACTCCTGCGTGTCGCATGTTCAAAGCCGTTGTCACTTTATGGCCGCGGCATGTGGTTGCACCTGTCTAACCAATTGGACAAATGGCTGTGGGTCAAAACCAATGGTACCATTTTGGGGTAGGTGCACCACCCATTATAATCTATTTTAGTTGGGATTGGGATGTTCACGGGGGGTACGATTTGGCTTTTGACCCATGGCCAAATTAGAACGACATTACCAAGCAGAGGGAGACCTTGCTGCTAGGCCGCCTAGCGCGGCCCTTGTGAGCATGGAGCATGTGGCTCGAAAAACGAGCTTGCTCAAAAAGCAGCGCGGAATGCATGTCCAGTCTCAGCGCGGAAGCTCCGAATTGATACTAAAGCCCGAGTCCTTCCTTTTGCTTAAGATGATCTCAATTGTAAGCAACGGGAGTCGGCCGCATCTGACTTTTTGGTTTTGCAGATTTGGGCAACTTTTGGTCATGGCCTCAAAGAACGAGTATTCCATGTTATGCTTTCCTGTTGCTTTCACTGGCAACACATTGTGATGCTCAAGCGCCAAATGGAAGATACCGCGCCGCATGACATCCTCGGCAGATGCAGATCAAACGAGTGAGGTGCTGCGCGACGGAACATGTGTCCTGCACCTGCTTCGTAGTTCGGTCCGAATTGGCAGCGGGTCCATGCCGGGGGCTTGAGTGAGTATCTGTTTTGTCCCACTAGTGACCAACTCCAGTGAGCGCCAAGTCAAAAGGAAACCAAAGGAAAGCAACCATTTGCATGTGGTCCCCCCATTTTCAGACATACCATGAGCTTTTGTCGGGGGTTTACAAGCCCTGGCCACGGTTCCAAAGCCGTTTAGCATGCAGTCGGCGCTGACACGGTGCCAAAAAGAGCCGCGTTGAACTCACTTGGTGGTTCCCAGCCACACCCGTAGACTACTTCTGGATATTCCGTGTTGTGGGGTATGACACTGTATGACGTATCTCCACCAAGGTTGAAAACTATTGAAAAGGGATCAGCAAAACCTTAAGTATGGATACACAATTGCACGAGATGGAATTTAAGTAACGTTCGAAGGGATCCTAACAAATATCCAGTTTGGTGACAGCCTCTAAATCCCTTTTTGGATTCTCGCTGAAAATGGAGCCAACCTCCAAAAGGGATTGCTTCTTCCACCTTTTGTCCCTGGGCACCTGGGAACAAAACTGTTGAAATGGTCCGACTGAATGCCGCAAGAGGAGCTTTGTGTGGCTTGGGGGTTCCGCTTTTTTGACATGAAGAACTCGCCTTTCTGTCTTGAGACCGTTCTTTTGGTTTTAGTGCAGTGTGATTTATTGCAGATGTCGAAAACGCTCCTTTTCGACAGTGAGTCATTTTTCTTGACAGTTACCTTTGGTTATTGCATTTGTCATTGCCCCGGCTTGGCGGGGCTGCACACGATCCGAGTCTACGTGGTTGCGAAGGGGCCTTCGTCACGTTCGGCAAGCCAACCCCAGACGAGCCCTAAACCAACGTTATACCAACCCCAAGTCGACCCTAACCCACTCTAAACCAACCTTAGATTAAACCGACCGGCCCTATACCAACCCTAAACCTACCCGAACCCCACAAACCCACCCTAAGCCCGCCAGCCTTAAACCGCCCCCCTAAACCAACCTGAACCAACCTTAAACCGACCCCATCCAACTAAACCAACCCGCTTCTCCAAACCCACCCTAAACCGGCCCTGAACACCAGCCCAACCCTAAACCCACCCCTAAACCCAGCCCTAAACCCAGCCCACCCACCCCCCCACCCGACCAGAAACACACTTCAAAGCAGCCCTAGCCCAGCCCTACGCCAACCCTACACCAACCTATAAACGAACCCTCTGCCAGTCTTAAACCAACCCAATGCCGACCTTAAACCAACTCCAACCCTAAACCCACCCCAAATGCACCCTAAAGTAACCCTGAACCGGCCCAATCTGTCAATGTCACTGTCAAAAGGGCAGTTTCCTGTATGTCAATCATGCCTTTCCTGTGGCTGCGCGTTCTGGAGGGGATCAAAAGTATCGCGATCGGTTCTGCACAAAGTGAGCTTTCTGAGCAAGGCCCCACTGATTTTGAAATGAATGTGTTTCCACTGGAGCTTGGCAGAGCAACATTTCCCCCACGCAGCATTTGATGACTGATGTTTCCCATTATTCTACCGTGCCTGCGCCGTAGGGTTCATCCAGGCTCACGCATGCTGTTTTCGATGAGCCTTGCGCTTTGGTGGCCTGTATGTAGGTCGTGCGTTTTGGGATCCAGCTGTTTGGGTGGCCGTTGCCCCCCTGAAATTGTCCAGCACTCAATCAACCGTTTTGGTAGATGGACTCTACTGCGTTCGGAACCTCCACTGTTCTGAGGGCGGCGTGAGGGAATGCCCACTCAAGCTTAGGCAGGCTCAGGAATCTTGTGGATATGGCTTCTGATGGTGCAGCAGATTCTTAGCTCCGGACGTACTGAGGCCAATCGGGCTGAAAATAACGCCCTGATTGGCCCTGTTTTGAGCGCTTCAAACGCCTCGGCGTAAGTGCCTAAATTTTGGTTTGGCTTGCGCCCCTTCAAGCAATCATGTTAGTCAGCCTTCCCGTCAAACAAACCCTTTACCCCCCCAAACCAAACTCAAACCGCAATCCCAACCCTAAAGCCACCACAAACCAACCCTGGACACCCAAACCCTGAAGTGAAGCAAGCCTAAACCGGCCCTTGAACCTTAATTCCACCCCAACCTACACCAACCCTTCCCTAAACCAACGCTCCCAAACCAACATTGAGCCAGCCCCGAAAAGATATAGAGGGAAAGAAGGAAGATAAAGGACTGATCCAAATGCTACAGTTAGCTAAGCGTTGGCTTCAAGGTTGGTTTAAACTTGGTTTACGGTTGGTTTCAAAGAAGAGTCTCTTCGTTAATCCTATCTTTTCTTTCACATTGTAATTTAATTCTATTTGCATGTCTCCAACCCTAAACATTCTCATGTCAACCCGAAAAGGCGGATTGTCAATGTGTGGTTTCAATGGCTAAAAAAGAAGGTCCTGTCAGTGGAAAAGAGCCCCCAATGGCCCCGCTGAAGCCCAATCCTAAGGCTGAAGCCCCAATGGCCCCTGCCAAGAAGCTTATTCTACAGAGTTAAGGGCTCTCAAGGAGGTTTGCCAGCCGAACCTGAAGCTACGGCTGTTCTCAAGGTCCTTGTTTTCCTCAGTGACTGGGGTTTTAGTCAATTTGTTTTCGCGTTTGACCATTTTCGTAAACAAGAGTGCTAGAACCTTTTGTGACAAATGCACTGACTCAAGTGAGCTTTGAGGGAAATGCGATCGCTTTTGTTCACAGGTTCAATCGTGAAAGGCCCGAAAGTCAGTCTTTACAAATCCTGGTGAAGTCGTGCGCTTCTCACGACGCTGTCGCACCGCAGCCTTGCGCAGCACGGGGCACGAGACCCGAGGGACGCCAAAGCCCAGCACTTCAGTGGCGCCAAAGCCCAGCGCCCATGCCGCTCCCCTGGCTATGCTTCGCAGTGGCCGCGCGGCTCGTCAGCGCGGACTGGGCGCCGGCGACTTAGTCGTCCATCGGATTCGCGCTGAATCCGTGCGAACTTCGGCACACCGAGCCGACCTGCATGCAGGAAAAGATTAAGTACCCTTTGTTCGAACACACTGAAGTTGGCTAATCGACTCCTGAAAATTTGGAGCAAGTTTTCAGTGGATGAAACGCCCCAGAAGGTTCAGGTGGTTTCCACCGCAGCGCGCGCCCCAAGTGGTGCTCGAATGAACAGGAGAGCCACAGCCTTGTTTCGCCATAGTTCTATCAGGTTCGGCCTACGGTCCATTTTTGGGAGGTGCGGGATATGGATTCACTCACTTCCAGTTCTCGCCCAAACCTTGGGGACTCAGAGCTTGTGAGGAAGTTGGAGGGTTCCAAATGCTTGGTCACAAAATCGAGGTTTTCCTTAGGTGTTCCTTTTAAAAGCGCCCAATAGAGGTCCCTCAAAAAAGGCCCCATAGCAGTCTAAATGTTCCAGATGAGAGCATACCCTAACTTTCTCGTAGTTGTCCATGTCCTTTACAGGAGCAAGCTCCGGATTACAAATCCAAGGCAACCACAGACTCCTGAGAATGGAACGGTGCTGCATTGGCTGCAGCACACAAACTGTTTGCGTGTTGATTATGTTTGGATTTGTTGTTGATTCTGTTGCTCCACTCTGTGGTAAGTAAGAAATGTTGGTTGCCTATGTACATGTCGTTGATGTTGTTGCAAACCTGTTTGTTATTTGGTTGTAAGCTCGCAAAATATGAACATTATGCTAACCTACAGACAGTGGTGGTGCAAAGAGATGCCCAAATACATCATGGGTACGCAACGGCATGCAACAAGAAGGTAAGCCACACTTCATGGGAAAAGCCACATGGCTAAGCAGGATGTTTTGTCCGGATTTCCTCTTTTGATCCGGTGGTAGTCAAGCATCTCTGTTGATTCTTGTAAACCCAGGACCAAGCAACAGGAAAAAGGGAACCAACCAGACAGAAACCCACTCATTTGGACACCCGCCCATAAAGGTTAGAAACATCCCGAAAGCTTGGGACAAACACCTGTGAACTTGCGTAACCCAGGGTTTTGCGCGGTAATTAAGAGAAGGGTGCAGCAATTAAGCCCGAATCATTCCCGGAAAAAACTTTTTCACCACCCTGGGACATTTCTGAACAATGGCGACCAACGGAAATAGCGACGACAAACTGTCCAATCTGGCAACACCAATTTGGGCGTTAATTAATGAAGAACGGGCGTCGCGAATGGCAGGGCAGCCAAGCAATTCATCGCGCCTTGCAAGAATGCCCTGAAGAAGGTTACGCGCAACAAAATTTAAATGTAACAGTAAGTATCCAAATTTTGACCGAAACGATGCGAATGCAAAGCATGTAAGGGTTTTTGTGGCGGCAACAACACCCCCCCTCAGCATTCAAGGATATTTCGACCGCCAACAATCCTTAATTGCTGATTCCTTTTGAGCATCCTAGTTGCCGACCTCCGGCCTGCCCCCAACAATTGAGAATGTTTCGGTCCGTTTCCAACAAATTCCTCTGTGGCTGACCCCACCCTACGGAGCAATTAAGGATTTTTTTGGGCCTTGCTGACCCCGCCCCTTAGCATCTAAGGATTTTGCGGGCGACAGGCATAGTTGCTGATCGGCGCTTTAGGATTTATCAGTTCACAAACATCTTTATTTGGTAGCAGCAGAGCATATGTTTTTGC